AAGTTTCTTTTTGCTGCTGGTGTATATTTACTCAGAGTCCTCGGACTTGGCTGTGTAAGACTTTGCAGAATACTGGCAGCTAACCAATGCTAGCATAGCCAGAAACACGGTTGAGGGGGGAGCTTCCACTTCTTGCTTTTCTACCATCTGCTGGGCTTCAGTTGTTAGCTTCTTCAGCTGGCCCCATGTTGGCACCTTGGCCTCTTGCATAGCCTTTGTTTTCTTCTTCTTCTGCATTGCTGTCATCAGGGCAACTCTCAGTCTTTTGAACAAAAGAACAAGGAGCTTCTCTGGGTCCATTATGGTGACACACGTAATGCTCTGGCACCCAAATTGGCCGCGCTGCTCCTTCTGGAAAGATACAAGCACAACCTCTGCCCCACATCATTACTGGATCTGGCCCAAACCATTGTCCAGTTTGTGCATCTTTCCACTGGGCTAACCCAGTGGAGGCCCGATGCCTTTCGGCTGCTGTACGACCCTCTGCATCGCAATTCAAAAAATTTAAAGTATAAAGAGGATGACTGAGTTTGTTTTGAGTTGACACATAACATCCGTCACCCCCTTTTTTTGTTTTAGTAATTGCATTTTAAGAGTACGATTGGCTCTTTCCACTATAGCTTGACCTTGAGGATTGTAAGGGATACCAGTTTTATGACAAATTTGATATTGCTGACAAAAGTGCTGAAAAGCAGAACTAGCATATGCGAGTCCATTGTCTGTTTTTAGCTCTGAGGGAGGTCCTAGTACCGCAAAGGCAGCTAAGCAATGATTAATTACATGCTTGGCACTTTCTCCTGTTTGGGGAGTCGCAAAGATAAAGTGGGAGCAGGTATCTACATTAACATGTACCCATCTATGCTTACCAAACTCCGGGATGTGGGTGACATCCATTTGCCAGATTTGATTAGGTTTAAGACCCCTAGGGTTAACCCCTAACGATTGTACAGGGCAATGAATTACACACTGAGAGCACTGCTTAACAATTTGATGAGCTTGCTCCCAAGAAATAGGGAATTGTTTGTGCAAGGCAGCAGCATTTTGATGATGCAATGCATGGGAGGACTGGGCAAGAGAAAATGGGGTAGCCTCTTGCATTACAGCAAGGAGGCGATCAATAGCGCCATTACCTATAGCTAACGGACCAGGGAGACCTGAATGAAATCGGATATGACCAATAAAGCAGGAAAATTGTCGTTCTCTAATAACCTTTTGAAGGCTGAAAAATAAATGAAAGAGTTCCTCCGATTTAGTGTGCCCTATAGTAACTGTTTCAATAATTTTGGCCATACTTACCACATAAGCACTATCACTATATAGGTTGATGGGCTCCGTAGCAAAGTCTGTCAAGACATAAACAAGAGCTTGTATTTCTACCCGTTGTGCTGAAATATAAGGGGTTTGAAGGAATTTTGCTCCCCTGCTGCAATAGTATCCAGCCTTTCCAGAACTGGATCCATTTGTAAAAATGGTTAATGCCTGAGGTATAGGTTGTGACTTCATTATCTTTGGGAAGGTAAAGGTAGTAACTGAGAGAAAATGTAAGACTTTATTTGCAGGATAATGGTTATCAACCTGTCCAGAGTAATTAGCAAGTGTAATTTGCCAACTTGTTGATCGTTGCCAGAGCCAGTCTTGCTGTATAGCTGAAAATGGCACTACAATGAGGTCAAGGTCTCGGCCTACTAACTGGCCTGTTCAAAGGTGGGCTTGAGCTATTAGCTGGGAAACTGAATCATGGACAGGAGTTAATAGCTTACTCGGAGAATGAGCCAAATATAGCCATTCAACAACTCCAGAAGCTTGCCAAATGACCCCAGTGGGTGTATGCATAGTAGGGAAAATTAAAACCTGTAAAGGAAGGGAGTAATCAATTCTAGTAAGTTGTGCTGAACTTAAGGCATCCTCAACTTTATGTAGGGCTGTCTTGGCTTCCTCTGTCAAGCAGCGAGGGGATGATGGAGATGAATCTCTCCCTAAGTATATGAAATAAAGGGCTTAAGTCAGCAGTAGTTAATTTTAAAGCAGGTCAAACCCAGTTAATATGTCCTAATAATTTCTGGAAGTCATTTAATGTAAGTAAAGTGTCAGTCCGAATTTGAATTTTCTGAGATTTTATTGTTTTTCCTTCAATAATGCTGCCAAGATAAGATAAAGGAAATGTCCTTTGAACCTTTTCAGGTGCTATGCATAATCTAGCACAATGCGGGGAATCCTGCAAATAGTATTTAGAAGCATTTCATTGTTATGAGCTAAGAGAATGTCATCCATATAATGAATAATATAAGCGTTGGGATATTTTTTCCTTATAGGATGTATGGCTTCGGCCACAAAACCCTGACATAATGTAGGACTATTGGCCATGCCTTGAGGCAATACTTTCCATTGATACCTCTTTATGGGCTCGTTAAAAATTTATTAAAGGGACACTAAATGCGAATCTTCTGCAATTTTCAGGATGAAGAGGAACAGTAAAAAAGCAGTCCTTAAGATCTAATACCAATAAATGATATTGCAATGGGATACCTGTAGGGGATGGTAACTTTGACTGAAGGGGCCCCATAATCTCCATGGTTTTATTAATTGCCCTTATGTCTTGCAATAGTCTCCATATACCAGATTTTTTCTTTATTACAAATATGGGTGTGTTCCATGGACTGTGAGTGGGTTCAATATGCCCTGCCTCAAGCTGTTCTCGAACCAACTCTTGTGCAGCTTTTAACTTCTCTCCTAATAGGAGCCATTGATCAATCCAGACAGGAGTATCTGCAAGCCAGGTAATTTTAGCTGCTGTATGCTGGGTTGGAGAGACAATCAAGGCCCCTGTTGAAAATTCTGGTAACCTAATCTGTGCCTCCCCTTTTGAGTGAACATCGGGATAAATAAACGTCTCCTTTGCTGATTCTTTCCTAGTCCCTTTAGGGGGTGAAATCCTTGATTAAGCATTTGAGAAGTAACAATGTAACTGGGACTTGTTATTAAAACCCCCATCTGCTCTAGCATATCTCGACCCCATAAATTAACAGGTAAATGTTGCAATACATAAGGTTGAAAATAGCCTGTATTTTCATCTGGATCTTCCCATTGAAGGAGTTGAGCACTCTGCAAGGGTTGAGTAACATGCCCCACTCCTTGCAATTCAGAAGCCGTGAGATTTAAAGACCAGGCCTTCAGCCAATGTCTGAAAGCGATTACTGACACATCAGTTCCAGTACCTATAATCCCTTTAAAAGGCTTCCCATTAATCCTTAGTTCTAAGTCAGGCCGGCCCTGCTTAACTATTCTTGCCCAGTATACCTCGTCGCTGGATCCAAAGCCCACTGCACCACTGGGCTGATCAGTTAAAGGCCTCCCTTCTGGATAGTAGGGCAGAAGGAGAATTTGTGCTGTTTTTGTTTCCGGTAAGACCTGAATTTAATAGTATTAATTGTTTGTGCTATTACTTTAATTTCTCCAGTATAGTCCTGATCTATCACCCCCAGGGAGAACTTGAAATCCTTTCAATGCCAAATTGCTCCTCCCTAAAATTAATCCCATCATGCCCACAGGAAGGGGACCATATACTCCTGTAGCAATGGCCTGAGGCCCCATCTCTGGGGTTAGTACCTATCGGGAGGTGGGACTGAGGTCCAATCCTGCACTACCCGGGGTGGCAGGGAAAGGTTTCGAATGGTGGCTTTGGGACTATGCCTGCTGAAAGCTGTAGTGGGGTCAAGTTAAGGCCCCTACTGTTTGTGGGCCAGGCTGGCCCACTTGAAGTTTCCCTGCCTAGGGGACATTGGTTTATTATCAACATCAGTCTTGGAGCGGCATGCATTTACTCAATGGTTTCCTCTCCTGCATCTTGGACATAGTCCAGGCTGCTTGTTTCCACTCCCTATAGCCTTTTGACTTTCATTTCTATCATTACAGTCTTTAGCAAAATGCCTTGTTTACCACAGTTAAAACATCCCCCTTTCTTTTTCTGCTGACCAGCGAACAAGATTTCTTTTAATGTGGCAGCTAATACTGCTCCTTGAACATAGGCTGGTCCAATGTCAGCACAAATACGAATAAAATCAAGTACAGTACCATTCTTCCTCTAGGGACATAAAGCCTCTTGACATACTCCATTTGCATTTTCAACAGCTAATTGCTTCATGAGTATCATTCCAGGCACAACCCTGCCTACCGCTTGGAACAAGCGAGCCACAAAATCCTGACATGGCTCCTCTGGGCCTTGCCTAATTTTACTTATGTCTAGAAATTTTTCCCCTTTTGTTGGCAGTTGCCTCCAGGCTTTGGTGGCACATATATTTATTTGCTGATAAGCTTGCATGGGGTACACTAACTGAGCCTGAAAAGCCCCATGAGGTCCGGTGCCCATGAGCATATCAATTGTAAGGGGTACCTCATGACCTTGGTTTCTGTTAGCCTGCTCCGCACTAAGCTCTGCCCAATTAGATTTCCATAATAAGTAATCTTCAGGCGAGAGACAAGCCTTTGCAACAGTATTCCAATCACTAGGAGCCATAGCTTCCTCAGATATTGTATCTAGTAACCCTAGCACAAAAGGGGATGTTGGTGCATACATAGAACAAGAAGTCTTCAACTCCTTCAAAGTTTTAAAACATATAGACTGATGGCCACGGAGCATCTGACCTGGATTCTGAGGATCAAGCTGTTCAAATACAGTGGGGCCTTGACTTACGAGTTTAATTCGTTCCGTGACGGAGCTCGTAACTCAAATTACTCGTATGTCAAATCAATTTTCACCATTACAATGAATTGAAATGCCATTAATCCGTTCCGGACACCCAAAAAACACTGCAATTGTTTTGTTAAATGTTTTTAAATAAGAAAAATGTATTTAAAAATAACGAATATTGTATAAAAACACAATACTGAACAATAGAATGTAGTACAATAAACTTGTTTTATTAAGTTTAATGTACAGCATTTACCTTGGAGATCAAACGACTTAAAGATGCTGATGGAGTTGGAGGAGAAAGGCTCAACTGAATAACTGAATCTTATTTGCTGATTTTTGCCCTTTTCGCCACGCTTTCATCACTTTCATCTACAGGAGTTTTCGATAAAAACCTGTCCAATGAGATCTGTTTCATCCTCCCTTTCAGAATATTTCTGAAATGAGTTAGGCAAGTGTCATTAAATAGCTCCATTGCACGCCCAGTTGCAATTTTTTCTGGGTGAATCTTTTGAATAAAGTCTGAAAGTTTCTCCCACATTCCCAACATTTCCTTTATCTCACTTACAGAGATAACCTCCTCCTCCTCCTCCGTGTCATCTATTTCCTGCAAAACCTCCATGTGCTGCTGCGTCTGTAGCTCCTTTAGCTCCTGCATTGTCAGTTCCTCAGAGTGCTCCTCGATGAGCTCATTGATGTCACCTTCCTTTATATCCGTGCTCGCTGCCTCACCATGTCTGACAACGGAGTGAATGCCAGTCCTCTTTTTAAAATTTTCGAACCAGCCCCGACTGGCTTTAAACTGCTCGCCCAATGCCTTGATGTTATGATAAAGGACCAACTAGAAATTAAGCATACACTGACTGAAATAAAGAATATTATACAGACTCCCAACAGCAGACCAGAGGATCGCAAGAATCAAGTCAAAGATTTGAAATACAAAGAAGCAAAAAACACCCAACCAGAAAAGCAAAATGAAAAAAGAGTCCAAAAATACAAAGATAGTGTAAGGAGCCTCTGGGACAGCTTCAAGTGTACCAACATCCGAATTATAGGGGTGCCAGAAGATGAGAGAGAGCAAGATATTGAAAACCTATTTGAAGAAATAATGACAGAAAACTTCCCTTACCTGGTGAAAGAAATAGACTTACAAGTCCAGGAAGCGCAGAGAACCCCAAACAAAAGGAATCCAAAGAGGACCACACCAAGACACATCATAATTAAAATGCCAAGAGCAAAAGACAAAGAGAGTATCCTAAAAGCAGCAAGAGAAAAACAATCAATTACCTACAAGGGAGTACCCATACGACTGTCAGCTAATTTCTCAACAGAAACTTGGCAGGCCAGAAGGGAGTGGCAAGAAATATTCAAAGTGATGAATACCAAGAACCTACAACCAAGAGTACTTTATCCAGCAAAGCTATCATTCAGAAGTGAAGGCTAGATAAAGAGCTTCACAGATAAGAAAAAGCTAAAGGAGTTCATCACCACCAAACCAGTATTATATGAAATGCTGAAAGGTATCCTTTAAGAAGAGGAAGAAGAAGAAAAAGGTAAAGATACAAATTATGAACAACAAATACACATCTATCAACAAGTGAATCTAAAAATCAAGTGAATAAATAATCTGATGAACAGTATGAACTGGTGATTGTAATAGAATCAGGGACATAGAAAGGGAATGGACTGACTATTCTTGGGGGGGAAAGGGCTGTGGGGGGTGCGGGAAGAGATTGGACAATAATCGTGCACCTATGGATGAGGACAGTGGGTGGGGAGTGAGGGCGGAGGGTGGGGTGGGAACTGGGTGGAGGGGAGTTATGGTGGGAAAAAAGAGGAACCAATGTAATAATCTGAACAATAAAGATTTAATTAATAAAAAAAAAATTTTGAACCAGCCCCGACTGGCTTTAAACGGCTCGCCCGATGCCTCGTCCATTGAAGTGCCTGGGGTCTGCTGCAGCAAATCAGCATAAATAGCTCCTGCCTTCTCACAGATTATAGCCTTCGTCACGGTATCTCCTGTGAGCTGCTTCTCCGTTAACCACACCATTAGCAGCTTCTCCATATTTTCATGGATAGATGTCTGCTGTTTAGAAATTATTTTAACGTCCTTGGCTGGAGTTGTAGCCTGTATTGACTCCTTCTGCTTCAGCATGGTGCAGATCGTAGACGTGCTACGCTCGTACTGCTTCGCCAAGTCGATTACACGCACACCTTAGTCATGTTTTTCGATAATTTCTTTCTTTAATTCAATGCACATCATCCGCTTCTTCTTCTCAGCACTGTCCTTCGCACTTACTTTCTTCAGATCCATGGTTGAAAAAACAAAGTTTTGCAAAATAACTGCAAGCACAAATGCGAGCACAACACTGATGCTTCAACTAAGAGCTAACCGCTTAAAGTGAACGAGTGAGACACGTGATGCTGGGCTGATGTTGTGGGGTTCACTGTGACGTTTGCTGTGCCAACTAGCGGTGGGGTATCTGAAGCTGGCTCGTAACCCGAATTTTAGCTCGCAACTCAAAGCAAAAAATCGGCTGAGAGATGGCTCGTATCTTGAAAAACTCGTTAGTCGGGACACACGTAAGTCAAGGCCCCACTGTATAGGGTATAGACTGAATCCTGAAGTATCTTCCCTAGCCTGCCTGGCCTCATGTAGAGTCCGCTGGAGTAGAGACAAAGGCACTATATTTGTTTCTCCTTGTTTTGGGGGTAAAAGGAGAGAATTGTGAGCAACAGTAAACTCCCCAAATGCTTGCATCTGACCCCCACCATCCCATTCCCGCCAGCGCTGTTCCTTTGCTGCCTCCTTCTCCAATTCTCATTCATTTTTTGGAGGAAGTGCATCATCCGGAGGGCTCTTCCCCACAGGAGCTGTAGCCCCAGGGACTGGAAGAGGTAGCGGAGGCACCGATGGTCCAGGTGGAGTTGGAAGCCTCTGGTAGCCTTCCACTCTTAGTTCCCCTGGCACATTCATCTACTCCTTTTCTGGAGTGGGCTCTAGGTAGTCCGGAATCAGGGACCACAGACTGAAAGCAGAGGTAGGAATTTTTCTCTGGACCTTCAGCTATACAATGATCTCTAAGTTGCTTTCTTACCTTCTCCCATTTCTCTACATTTACCTTTCCTTCCTCAGGAAACCATGGGCAAGTTTTATTTACAAAATCCAACAAATCAAGAAGCTGTTGATGTCTAACAGAATAGCCCCATGCTTGGAGCAGAGCTTTAAGCATAGATACATGTAAGTTATTTTACTGCGATCCTGAATTTCCCATTTTTTACACCTAGCTATTACTAAACTGTGTAAACTGCGCTCCTTACCTTACTTTTTGCTTTCTGCACGTGCTTCACTGGAGTGTCCTTTCACCTTGCAATTGTAGTTCCCCCATACTCAGGCCCCACATTGGGCACTACATATGGTGCGCCAGAATAGCCAAGGGTGACCTGAGGAGGGGTGGTGAAGGATTGAAGAAAAGACAGACAAGAGAATACAGCTGGGGCTTGGTGAACTCACATGCCTGGATGAGGACACAAAAGATCCAGCCTGCAAGCCAATGCTTTATTTTATAGTCTGATCAAAACAAGGGTAGATTAACATGTATACAAATGTTTTGGCAACTCTTGATGCACCTCTCACAGCCCATTAGCTACTTAGGAAGGATTTAGGGAGGGCTACAAGGTTAGGCTTAATTATGCTAGGAGAGCTCTGCCCTCCAGGCTGGGCTTGTTTGTGGCCCTGCCACAGATCAGCCCAAGGCTTGACCCTAGAGCAGCTACCTACAATTCATCAGATATGCTTTCAGCTATTCTCACCTGGCACCTGATTCTCCATCTGAACACATGAGGTTGCTTATCATCTCCCAGATCTGGTTTCTTACATCTGGAATAAAAGCCTGTCTGTTATTAGACACCAGTTCTTCAAGAAATCTAACAGAAAATACATTCAATCCCAAACTGGACCCATTATCAAACATTTTTTTCCTCCTCATTGAATGATGCTCCCATCAATCTACTTGCACACAGAGGAATTTTGGCAGACATCCAGATTCTTTTTCTCATTTAGCCCTGGCATTAGGCTACCAAATTTTGCAGATTCTACCTCCTTCATCTCCATTCAGATCCCTACCATTCAATCAATCTTTAAAGCCATTACCTTAACCAGGCTCTCATCACTCTGCCTGGATTGCTGCAATTTCCTCCTAACTGATCTTGCTGCCTTGAGCTGGCATGACCCCAACCGATTGTACACAGTTATAAATGTGTTTTTTTTCTAAAATATAAATCTGATCATGCCATTTTCGTGCTTTAATTCCTTCAATGGCTCTGATAGCTCCAAGATAAAGAGGAAACTCTATAGCTTAATACATAAGATACTTAATGATTGGACACCTGCATCCACTTTGCCTCCATCTCTCCCCATTGATCTCCACAAACTTTTTGTTCTCAGAAGTACACTGCTCAGTGACCACTTCACTCCTCAAAACTTCACAAATGGGGATGGAACACCTGGCTGACTGCTTCTCATCTCTGAGTGATGATTGCAAAACCTCTGTCATCATGAAGTTACCCCTGATCCTTAAAGTAGAAGTAGGAGTCACCATACTTATTTTACACATGTTTTCATAACCAATAACATTTATTTATCTCAACTATGTACCATGCATTGTTTATGTACCTTTCACACATTATCACATTGAATTATTAAACTAGCTTCAACACTGTAATTTTGTTATTCCCTTTTAATAGTGAACAGACTGAAGTTTTGAGAAGTTCTACAATTTGTCTAAGTTTATACAGCTTACCAGCAAAAGTGAGCAAACACAGCCTTTCCTTCTCCAAAGTTCATGATATTAAAGCTGCCATATCATTGAATATGTTAATAGTTGGCTTGGTGTTTTACTTCTAGCATAGGATTTGGCACATGCAGGATATTGATAAACAAATTAATGAATACATTGGATTTTGAAAATATTGGCCTTGAGGTGCCTAGAAGCCTTCCAGGTTAACACACTGTAAGTGAGGTGTTGAAGCTGCAGTGGAAAATCTGAGCTTAAGGTGGAAAACTGAGTCTTCAGTGGTAGCTCAGGCCACAGCAAGGAAGCTACCACCACAGAGCACAGTAGTGAGGGAGACACAGAAGGAGCCAAGGTTATGGCCTCACAGAAAAACAACATTAAGGGCATTCAAAGAGGTGGAATCTGAAAGAGGCACAAATTATGGGACAGGATGAAAAGCTCCAAAGATGCACCCTACTAATGTATCTACTGTTAATAGTGTGAAACTACTATCCTAATATATAAAAATCCAGGGTCCGTAACGACCAAACGGATGACTGGTCCATCCCTCGGCCCTCAGGCTCCATTGATCAGGGAATGGCTAACAGGGGAGCTGGGGTCCCTCAGGCTCCAATGAATCCGTGGCAGCAGCGACTGATGAGCGGGCGGAAGGCAGACCACTTGGTCCCACCCCCAGCCCACAGGCTCTCATTGATCAGGGGATGGTTAACAGGGAACCAGAGTGAGTGGCACGGGGACTGGCGAGCAGCTGGAAGGCAGGCCTCTTGGTCCCTCCTCCTGGCCCTCAGACTTCAATCAATCGGTGGTGGAGGCGGGGCGGAACTGGGGACTGGCTTCCTTAGTAGTCCTGTAGGTTCAATCTCCAGAGGACAGGACAGGCACCAATGGACCAGTGCCTCCAGCACAATCCCGACAGCGCTGCCGGCATCCTGAAACTCAGCCTCGGGCACTGCAGCTGCTTCCCTTCCCTAGACGCTCCACAAGGAAGAAAGAATACCTCCAGCAGCACCAGGGGCGACCAGCAGTGACTGACTGCTCTCCCTGTGCTTCCTCCAGGTCACTTGAGCCAGCCCCCACCCGCCCCACTCCAGATGAAGTGTGATCACTGCAAACAAAAGGAATGTAGTAAAAAACCAAAAACTGATGACCAAGAGAATGCCGCAGTCAACGTCCGGAATCCGGCTCAGGAGAACGGAGAGAAGGGAGAATTCCCTAAGGTGACCGATACCAAGATATTTCTGAGTGACTGCCTGGTGTGTGACAGTTGTCTGACCACAGAGGAAAGAGTCCAGGTTTCTCAACAGAACACCAAGGACTTCTTCCATGTTCTGAACCTTAATAAGAAATGTGATACCTCACAGCAAAAGGTGCTGGCAGTGTCCGTGTGTCCTTAGTCTCTGCCTTATTTTGCTGCTAAATTCAGCCTCAGTGTCACTGGTGCATCCAGAAGACTCTGAGTCTTCCTCAAAAGCCTTGGGGCGCACTGTCTTTGACATGAAGATAGCTGCGAACTTCAGCATCCTGGAGAGTCAGAAGGAATTTGTGCGTCAGTACTGCCAGCACCATGAGGAAAAGCCCCGGCTACCCATGCTGACCTCCGCCTGCCCTGGCTGGGACCAATATATAGAGTGTGTGCTGGGTCACCCCATCACCCTCACCTCTGCACGGCAATGTCTTCCCAGCAGATCATGGGCTCTCTGGTGAAGGACTACTTCACCGGACAACAGAACCTTTCCCCAGACAAGATTTTCCACGCCATTGTGGCCCCATGTTATGACAAGAAACTGGAGGCCCTTTGAGAAGATGTTCCCACAGCTTTACATAGTTCTCAGAGAGCTGACTGTGCGTTAACCTCAGGTGAAACTGTCCAGATAATGGAGCAAAGTGACCTCGCCTCGAATGACACCGCTGTGGACACTCTGTTTGGAGACATGAAGGAGAAGGAGGTGAGGCTCCATGAGGGTGCCAGCTCCGATGGGTACCTGGCACACATCTTCAGACACATGGCCAAGGAGCTGCTCAACAAGGACATGGGAGTGCTCACCTACCGCATCCTGAGGAACAAAGACTTCCAGGAGGTCACCCTTGAAAGTGACGAAGAGGTGCTGCTACGCTTTGAGGCTGCTTACCGCTTTCGAAACATCCAGAAGTGGTCCTGAAGCTGTAGAGGGGCAAGTTCCCCTGCCACTTTGTGGAGGTCCTGGCCTGCGCCGGGCATGCCTAAGTGGCAGGGCCAGGCCCAGGCGGACGACGGGTGTGGAAGGCATTACTACTACGGCAGA